ATATATAACAACACATTTGGCTGATATTGATACATTCACTTTGATCCCCGCCTAATTTCAGTGATCAAATTAATATGATATTCATTTCCTTAGTGAAATTAATATCATATTATACATGCATGCTTTTATCCTAATGGCCCACCAGCAGATGGAGACATAAAAGACAATGCTTTTCAGAGTATGTAATATTCATTCACTGTGGAAAATAGCGGTGGTGCAGTGGTTATCTTCGTCACCTCACAGCAAGAGGGTTCCTGGTTTGATCCCGGGGTTGGAACTTGAACCTCGGGGTCGGGGAGCCCTTCTGTGTGTTTGATGTGCCAGTATTATTGTGCATCCCTGTTTTGTTCAGCATGATTCTCAGGAGTTGTGCTGTAGAAAAACTATCACAGATCTTCTGAGGGCAGCACGGTGGCCCAGTGGTTAGCACTGGGGCCTCACAGCAGGAGCTCCTGGCCCTCTTCCTGTCTGTGAGGTAAGCATGTTCTCCCTGTGACTGTGTGGGTTTTCTTCGGGTACTCCGGTTTCCTCCCACACTCCAAACACATGTAAATCAGGTGAACTGAACAAAATAGATTTCATTTTAATTGAATAATACCACTCAATGGCTGCAAGCTCATTCTTACTTCCCACTGCCACACTACTGTGCGTATACTCACCTGTACCACTTAAGCTCTCACATACCCCTACATATTTATCCTGCTGTCTATACTGTATATAGTGACTGATCTATATTGTATTTAAGGTATACGTCTTCCTTGAATATTTTTCACATGCCTCCACGTTAACATACTGATTCATAAATTTACTTGGGACCACTTTAAGAATAGCAAAACTATATCAAAACATCCATTTACAAACTCTCACACGACTGGTGCAGTATAATCCAAGTCTTATTTATCCAGTCGTATGCTCAGTGCTCCCCAAACGCATGCATTTTCACTAACAACCTTCATATTGGCTTGTCTGGCTTTAAACAAAGCACAGATTAGTTTCACTTTCAGTTCAGTTTCTACTACTCAAAGTAATATCACAATGAATGTGAAGGTTATGCTCTTCAGCCTTAACTTGTAGACTTCTGTACCTCAGCGACTGAAGGTGCATTGACGCCGGCACATGTGTAAGTAATCTTTCCATCAATTTCCATAGTGTGGTGGTCATCACGTTCACCTCACATGTGAAAGGTCCCCAGCTCAAAACTGGGCAGAAACACGTTTGTTTGTTCACAGAGAGAACTGCTGACAAGGGACAAACATGACGGCGCCCACAGAAAACATGTTTGGCTTCCTTCGAGAATACGGACAGAGCTCTCACACCGCTTATATCAGGACAGGATTGCTCATAGCAGTGCCACGTACTCCCACAGGCTAACTCACAGCACTCTCCAGGGGACACGGTCGTAGGCCCTCTCCAAGTCCACAACACACACACTGAATATGAAGGTTATGCCTTTCAAAAATTAACATGTCATGTGGCATCTGAAACAATTGCAGTTAAGCATTCAGGTGCATTGAGCCCAGCACCTGTGTGAAAAGCTCAAAACTTGGTGGAAACACGTTTGTTCACAGAGAGAACTGCTGACAAGGGGAAAAACACAAAAGACCCCAACATGTAGACTGGATGGGCAAACTGCCATGATACCATGCTTCCACGATCAGGACTGACTCCGCATTGCCACTTCTGTATCTGGATCTGAAGTTCAGCAACTGGCCAGCACCTCCTTTACTGGGAAAGCTTATGCCAGGGAGGCTGAGCAGTTCAATACCTCTATAAGAGGAGCACACCCTTCCCCTTTTTAAAAAAAAGGAAACACCACCCCACACAGCACAACAATTTTCCAGAGCCTTCAGCATCACAGGGCAAATCTCATCCACACTTGGTACCTTGGGGCTGAGGAGCTGCTTACCTACCTCAGATAACTGTGCCAGGGATATGGGCGAGGCTTGCCCCAAGTCTTCAAACTCTGCCTCATCCCCAGAGGGTGTGTTGGTCAGGTTCAGGAGTTCTTCAAAGGGCTCTTTCCACCCCCTGACAATATTCCCAGGTCTCTTCCCTTGCTGAACACAGCCAGGGTCAAGACCTGCTTCCCCCCTGAATCGTGTAATGGTTTTGCTAGAACTTCCTTGAGACGAACAACCCAGAGTCCTTCTCTGTAGCTCCCCTGAAAGCAACACGTGGAAGGACTATCACATTTCATGGAGAAATCATTTCCTAATACGAGTTGCTAGTAATAGTGAACCCTCCGTTTACCTGTATGGTAACAGCCGCTGCTGTTGTCTCGTGTTTCTTGGGGAATAATCAGCAGCTGGTAGAAAACTTGACTCTGGACTATTGAAATAAGGAAGAGAAGAAGGAGATATAATATATGATATGTGTGTTTTCACAGCAGTAGGGCCCAAAACTGCTGCCATGGGCTGGGCTCAGGGCTAACCTTTGTAACATTATATTAAGTAAGTCATTTGATGGCATCAAACTATGATTCTTGTCCTAAACCGACCCTACGTACTTGGTATTGGCACTAAATCACTGGGCGCCAATTTTTGAGATACAATACGAACATTGTATGAGGATACGTTGTGTGCATCTATCATGAATCTGAGTTATTGCTTTTCTCTGCATTCTTCTTGTCATTATAGATACATGTATTTAATTTAGACAAATGTTAGAGCCCAGTGCAAACAGAGGTGTTAGACCCAATGTATCTGCTCATGCATACATAAATACACTCAAATTTACAAATGCACACATAATGTATAAACACATGGTCTGCAAAAACAAATATATGCACACACACACACATGCAGCTACTATCTGAGCCTGGTTAGTTTGCAGAAGTGTCACTGACCTGCAGGTTGAGAGGAAGTGTTGCAGGACTGATTCTGACATTATCATCTCATTTTTAACATACTGACAATGGAAACACTACTAGTGGCTAACACTTGTGTAGATGTGACATTACTCAGTTCAGTTCATCAGAAACACATCAGTTGCAAGTTGAAGCTAATTTGGATGAAGCTGAGGTCATTGTAGTGGTAAGACTGTTGTCTGTCGCTTCCTCATCATTCTACTTTTCCTACACATTGTCAATTGATTTGTGGGATCTCACCAAAAGGCTCTCACTGTGTAGGAACTGTGAATTTTATTCATATAATTAATCATCATAATTGTGATTTCAAGGATATAGCTTCCAAACAGTAACATGGGATGAACACCACACAGGTAACCAGTGCAATGAGGCAAGAATGAGGGGATATGTGTTCATAAAATACACATTTTGTGCTCCACTGTTCAGCTAAACAGTGAGGACAGAGGTGGCTGAGTGTGTTGGACATCAATACTTCAGCTGTGGTTTGGAGGTATTTAATGCTATATGCTCACTGTGTCTCTGTGAACAGGAGGAAGTGGTAATGTGGCTGCAGGGACAGAGAGGCAGAATGTGACACTGCAGAGACGACTAGTTGGACGTTTAAGATGTGTGAAATGTACCTGTGGTTTGGAGGTTTTTCATTTGCTCACTGTGTCTCTGTGAACATGAACAAGGAAGTGGGAATGTGTAGAATACTTAAAAAAGTGAAATCTCAAGAAGCCACAGTGACCCCAGCAGTCAGGGGCTGATGTCTTCATGTCTCTGTCTTTACCCACATACAGCCACTTCACTGTGTGTCTACACACTCCATATGTCCACACAGAGCAGTTTAAGGTCACCTCATCAGCTACAGAGTCATATTACAGCTACAGTAAGAGGTCAGTGAGGAATGAGGAAATGGAGAGAGAGCTACAAAGCACACTATAAAACTGAATATTAACACTTTTGATATTTGCAATTTACATTATCATCAGTCATAACAAAGACAAGATTGTTACAAATTCCATTAAGACTCAAAGCTCATCAATCACACACTGTAGTCTGATATGTTTAAATGAAAGACAATCAAAATCACTTCCTCTGTACACTGAGTGATAAAAGTGATGCAAATCTGCTGCAGCTTAAAAAACAACCAGTAAATCTTAAACTCACAGATAGATGTTGCAACAGGAGCCAATTTAGATTCAAGAACACATTCAGCTTTATTGTTCCTGCACAGAGTAAAAGTACTGAGTAATGCAGTCATCTAACCAGAAGTGCAGTAGTATATATAAAGCAGTGGGGGTTTCTGTGAATACACTAAGTTATATACAGTATGAACATGTGCAGCAGTTACAGTAGGCAGAGCAGGTATAAGTATAATATACACAGTGCAGGTGTTCAGTTCATGAAATGCTGATAGAAAGACATTATGTACAGAATAAACAGTTGGAGGTATGACATGAGTACTGTGTATAGACTATAAATACAGTATGGACATAAGTATAAACATATATGGGAAAGTTAAAGCATTAATTAAAGATGTTCAATTAGAAAATAAACAAGTATATTAAGATATCTGTCATGTTAGATGAAGTTAAGGTTCTGGACTCACAGGGGGCTTCTTAATGTGAGATCAGATCAAGACTTGAGTATCTTTGTCCAAGTCAAACTAAAATATAAACAGCTTGGCACAGAAAACACATTCAGTCATCAGAAATCTTAAAATGATCTTATGATTCTATTGTTATCTACTTATGTAAAATATGATGAGATGATATTTAACAGCAGTGGACTCTGTGGTGAGTTGATGTTGTTGATCAGTGGAGTCATACAGAGGCAGAGGGGTCTCTGACATTTTCATAGTTCACCGTACCTTCATCTTCATCTTCCTCAATGTGCTCCTGTGAAAATGGAGCAAATCAGTGTTGAAACACAGAGCAGCTCCAGAGGAACAGCTGGGGTTGAGTGCCTTGCTCAAGAGAACCAGAGTGCTGGTTACTGGAGCAGATGACCAGGAGGGAGTTAGCTCAAGATTTTCTTTAAACTGTAATTTACTGAATTAAGATGAACACACATTGATCATAGTTTAATCAGCTGACGACCCTCCACTGTCAACCAACTGACTGCTGAGGTTGGGACATTTCAAACTGAACACAGTTCACAGTTGATTCAGCAGAACCTGAACACACATTTGATTATTCAGTTTTAAAACTCACCATGTTTTCAACCATCTGTGTTTTGTTCCCTGAAAAGACAAAAAAAGAGTCGACTTTAGCTTCAACAGTGAAAATTCAGGTTCATCAAAACTTGTTTTTGATAAAAGTTTCATGTGTGAATGTTCTCACCTTTAGTTCTTGTCCATATGTTGACTGTGACAACACTTATTATGAGCGCTGCTAAACCCACAGACACAAACCACCATGGGCCTGGAAAGAGAAGATAGGAGTGTTACATCAGTTAAGGTTTTCAATGATGACCCATTTGTCAGTGTGTTTTTACACTGTCTTTACATCTCTATTATCTGAATGAAAGAAGTTTCTATTAAAACTCTTTCTTTCTGTGTGTAGTTTTGTTCAGTCACCTTGTGTTGTTTGATTATTGTTGTTTTCACATGCTCTGTTGTTTGTTGCTTCTGATGTGCTCCTTTTCATTGATGTCCAGTTACTTCCTGTTGTTGATGGTGAATCTGTTGTTGTTGTGGTTCTTCTTGTTGTTGAAGCAGCTGTTGCTGCATCATGACCTTAATGAATACAATAACAAAAAGCAACAAACTGTACAGTTAGAAATACTGTAACCATCTGACATCATGACAATGATGCAACATTAAAACCTCAGATTGAAACATTTTGTGTGATTATTCACATCAGTTTGAAATGATTTTAAACAGCTCATCATGTTCTCACCTGGTTTCTCACCTGAGGACTGAGGAGGGCTGAAGGTGAACTGATGAACTTCTTTAGTGTAACCATCTGTCACTTCACATTTCAATAACTCATAATACTTCAACTTCTGATTATAGTCAGATGTTGTAAATGTCACAGAGGCTGAACATGTACTCTGTGATGTCTCCAAGTCATTCTGATTACTCTCATACAGCCACTTCACTGTGTG